CACTCAGTGGTCTCCGTATGATCGATCAACGGGAATTAGTTCGAAATCAATCGCCCTCACGGACCAACGGGATACAATTCATCATTGTGGTTAGTTTTACCCCCCAAATAGTTAATTTTCCTCCATGTTTGTATTTCTGAATCAAAATTTGTTATCTTTATTTAAGTTGGTGAGAATTCATGATTAGATATGTTTTAATTATAATTAATTCCTTCTTTACCGACTGTAAAACCAAAGCTATGCAGAAATTGTCCTTGAAACAGAGATAATCGGTATAGATCGGCGGAGAGAGATAACCGTGGTATATACTGACACAATTAAGATGCGATCAGCCATTTTTGCACACGTTTAGTTAATTAAAAGTCCGTTCTTGTTTTTTTCATTTAATATCCGTTATTTGCAGGGGCGGACTGGCCAGGCGGGCTACCGGGCATTCGCCCGGTGGGCCGTCGAACTGATGGGCCGGTAGGCCGGTTACGCTGAATAGACAATATCAATAATTTCTCAAAGTCAAACTTTTAAATTTTGTTTAACAATGTTGGCGCCACCGCCGACGAAATATGATACATCGTGATACATTATGTATCGAGTTTAAATAACATTAACAAAACATGAAATGCAATAGGCACGTTTAGGCAATTAAGCACGTACTATTTTCACACTCTTTTAATTAATGCTTAACAAAATATACAATCGGCCTAATCGAAAACTTATCTTTCTCTAAGAATCAGTCTTATGTCTATGCTTAACCATTGAGGGTGTACGTAGATCGTGAGGTTTCCATTAAGTGACAATTTATAATTATTACTGTAAAGTAAATTACTATTTTTTATCTGTAAAAATAGTATTTGCATTATGGCTTTTTCAAAACTAGTTTGTCGAAATGGACAAACCAAGCACAAGTGGGAAGGGTGTTAAAAGAAAAGCGGTTAAAGGCGGTGCGGAAAAATTACTCGAAAAGAAAAAAAAAGCTTTGGAGAAACAATCCAAGTTTTACAGGCCCTTGTCTTCATTTATTAAATTGCGTAAAGAAAATGTTAAAGGTGACAGTCAACCTGCACAATCTACAAGCACTACTCCTATTGAACCTGTTGAAGCGGTGGAACTTGGATTGAAGCAACCTACTACTTCAACGATTCTGGAAGATGTTTCTTCACAACAAAAAGTATCAGAACAAGAGTTTCTGCCACCCGTCGAAAGCAATAAATTTTTTTCTATACCAGCAACAAGTGACATTGATAGCTTTTTTAAATTTCATCAAATTCAACCATGTGATGTAAAAGACTTACTATTCAATCCGATTACACTGTTTCGCAGGAAAAGTGGGGTGCGGCGTACTTGGTTAACTTATAATGAACACTCAAAAACTTTATTTTGTACAGTTTGTATGGTTTACAGCAAAGAATCTAGTATATTTAAAAGTGGTGTAAAAAGTATTCATCCTAAATATATTTACAGTAGAGTGGATGAGCATGAAAAAAGTCAGTCACAAAAGTTCTGCTGAAGCACATTTGATGCAATTGAAAAAATTAAATATACTGTCTTACGTTCCAAAACAAGAAAATATTCGTTTAAGTCAAGTTCAGAATAGAATAGATATTTTACTGCGAATTATAGAAGTAATAAAAGTAATTGGTAAATGTGGTATTGCCTACTGAGGTCACAGAAATGAGGATATTCTTTCTTTGGCCAATTCAAAAAAATCATGGTAATTTTTTGGAACTTACTTTACTGCTAAAAAAATGTAACCCCTTATTAAATTCACATATTAATCGTGTTATTTTATAAAAGCAAAAGCGATATACACGTGGCAAGAAAGGTAGGGGTAATATTGTGTCTTTTTTGTCCAAAACAACTATAAATTCCATTGCAGATATTATCAAAAATTTAATAACGCGTAAGATTTCAGAAAAAATTACCAATATCGGAATGTATTCAATTCAAATTGATACAACACAAGACATTACAGTGACAGATCAAACTTCTATTATTATTAGATATGTAGATGATGAATCTGTGCATGAAACATTGCTTGCATTAAAAAGTACAAGTTCTACAAAAGGCCAAGCTCTTTATGAGTTAATAGCAAAAGTGTTGGCCGACAATAATATCAATTTAAAATATTGTGTAGGTAGTAGCACCGATGGTGCTGCAAATATGCAAGGGCAATATAATGGTTTTAGTTCTTGGATGGTTACTTCTAATCCTGAACACATACATCTTTGGTGCTATGCTCATATTTTAAACTTAGTAATAACAGATATTACACAAAAACCACATCAGTGTACATCTTTATTTTGTTTGTTAAATGGTATTGCTGTTTTCTTTAAAGAATCTCACACTAGAATGGACATTTGGAAAGAGTCTTCTCGAAAAGTTTTAAGTACAATAGGAGAAACAAGATGGGATTCTAAATTTAATGCAGTGTTAAAAATTTTTGGAAGTTATGATGACACAAGTAATACCCTTTTTGTTACAATTATAGAGCTTCTTGAAGGTATATCAAAATCAGAAATTTTAAATTCTGACACACGATATAAAGCAATTTCCTACTTAAATTCACTTTCAAAATATGAAACCATTTTAACCGCCAATATGTATTTGAGAATTTTTCAGCATACTTCACCTACATCAAAATATTTACAAACATCTGGACTAGACCTAATTACAGCGCAAACAATGATTACTGAAACAAAAAATTCTTTAACTGCAATCTCCAGAGATTTTGATCATTTAAAGTTAACAACAGATAAATTTGTAGAATGGGCAAATAATGAATTGGGAAAAGAAAACGACGCGTCTACGGTAATAATCAATTCGCAATTAGATATTCTGCGAATTAAAAAAAAAAAAATGTTGTCGGGTGAAAAAACTTCAGACTATTGTATTGATAACCCCTATGAAAAATATAAAATTGATGTATACAATGTAGTTATGGACGTTATTGGGCAAAGTTTTAGTACAAGATTTACCAAAAACGAAAAAAATTATACTATGCTTGCTGTATTTAATCCCCGAAAATTCAACAATAAAAGTTCTGAAACTCTAAATTCAGATTTATTTGTTCCACTATGCAATATTTTAATAAAATTTAATGCCGAAATTACACCGTCTCAAATACGAGAAGAACTTTTAGATTTTGCTGCAAAATGGGATCAATTAAAACAAACAGTATCCGAAGAGTCAACTTTTAGTGACGATTGTGGTAACCAAAAATCCTGCAAATCCTGCAAACAGTGTGCTTTGTGTTGTTATACATTTTTAATGAAACACAATCTTTATTCAAGTGCTTATGAAAATATTTTTCTTGTGTATAAATTTTTGTTAACTCTATCTATTTCGTCTGGTGGTTGTGAAAGGAGTTTTTCAAAGCTTAAAATTGTCAAAAATAGATTACGAAATAGTTTGACGGATGATCATTTGGAAGCATTTAAAATGATGTTTGTTGAAAGTATCATGTTAGATGACATTGACTGTAATATTGTTATAGATACACTGTCGGGTCAAAGTGCCGTTATGGCCAAATTATTAAAATAATCTGTATAATATAGGTATAATGCATATAAAAAATAAAATTGCTACAACTTTTTACTTCCTGAGCGTATTTCTAAATAAAATTAGTTATTTTAACCTTATTAATTAATAGATAAATGTAAAATTGTTGATTTTACAAAATATCATAGAAAAAATTTACTATAAGTAGTAAATGAGGGTCGCCTCCAGGGCCGGTTAAATCTTTTGCCCGGGCCACTTTTAAAGTGCCAGTCCGCCCCTGGTTATTTGTATTTTAATCATGACTATAATTACAACGAAGAGTAAACCAGATACTACAGGCATGCGCAGATCGCGCGCTAGCTTTATCTCTTTTACTCCACTACACAGGATCCATAAAAGAATTTATAAATCCTGGCGCTCCTAATAAGGATAATGGGAAACTGTTATCAAATTATTGCATTGTCATCGATCCTTGAGACGTGTGCAAAGTTTCAAGATGATCAGACTTTTAGAAACCGATGAAAATTAAGCTCAAAGATTCCGTTACATACATACATAGATACATACAACCCAAGCTAATAAAAGCGTGATAAAAAATATGAATGAAATGATAAATTACAAGTACATATTTTGTACATTTTAGATAAGATTTATTGGGCAAACTTTTGAGCTGACGTCATCCATTTTTTGGAGGGGATAAGTAAATATATTTTGACTAAAAATTTATTATCCTCTTTATAACCTTAGAACATCTGCAAGATTTCAAAGCATTCGGTTTAGCAGATTCAAAATTAAATTGCAAAATGTTGTTTTATAATTTTGATTTTTTTTCCAAAAATCTGGGCGTTTCGGATAAATACTCAATTCGGAATCATAAACTACATGTGTAGGACAGTAGGACTATGTTATTTTATACAATATAAAACCATTTATTACAACAGGCGGACAGACGGACAGACAGACAGACGGAAACGGGAGACCTATTTCTTCGTCCTGTAGGGGCCATGAAAGGTCGAGAAAACGTAAAAGTAGACGGACTCGATTACAATACGTCCTTCGCTTACGCTCGGGAAGTAAAACTATTATTCAAGGCGTCACATTAAAAAGAACTTTGTATATAATAATATAGAAAATTTAATAGAAATTATTTAGACGAAATTTTCGCCGCCCCTGAACCACAAATAAATCTATATAACATTAATTATTTTTCGTCGTCTGTAAAAAAAAAACTAAAATCAAACCTAACTATAAGGACGAATTTAATAATTCTGCGAAATATCATCGAGTTTTTGATGGAAATCAAAGAAATAATAAATTATGTCAAACATTTCTTCCCACATATACACTAGTAGATGTCGAAATCTTTGCCCAATTTCTAATTAATTTCAAAATTATACTGCCAAGTACAGTATTTTTTAGTTGCAAGAACGTGTATAAATTGATTGAAAAGATAAAAAAGGACCGGATAATTAAAGTAAAGAACTTCCATTGTTTTTGACGTCATATTTTATTTTCAACATTTGCCATTTTGTTATATCCAAACATTAGAAAATCTATAACTAAAAAGAAAGTGGATATAAATTTCTCCAAAGTGAGTATCTATCCTCGAACAATTTTTCTTTAAGAGTGAGTTTTTCTCCAATTTCCAGGTACTTTTTTGTGGTTGTGTCATACGGTGTCCATTCGATTTCGTAAATGTTTTTTTTAAGACCGCAGTCAGTGGGATTACTGTTATAAAAAACATTAAGGATTAGAAACATCGTTGAAATTAAATTTACTCTATTTAGAATTTACCTTGCAGTAGCAAAATTAGCCCAGAGAGAGGATAATGTCTGTACCATTTTACTTTCTGGAAAGCTAGCATTAAAAAATGGAAACATTGGAGAAATGTAGAACAAGTAAATTAAGTCATCATGATGAGCCACACCTTAAATAAAAATATGACATATGTTTCTCAATTTCCACCTTGGGCATACCATATGGGATAGTTCCGTCGGAGTTTGGAAGATAAAAGAAACTATACCGTCCTTGATAGGTAAATTCGTAATAATATACAGGTTTGTTACTGTGTTCACAAATTAAATCAACAACTCTATTAACTGGAAACCCAACAATAGAATCAGAATATGCCTACAATTTTTGAATGTACTGAAGAAGTTTTATTTTCAGTGAATTAAGTACGTACGTTTCCTAAATTTTGTAGTGATGCGTTAGTTATTGGATTGTTACCAAAATAAAACTGCCGTACACTTCTACTGACTTCTTTTGATTTATTAGTTCCTCTTTCGTAAATAAACATAATTGGTGCGTATGCTTCAAAATCGTTGTTGAGTTTTTCCAATAAAGTAGCGTTGGATAACACAGCTGAAAATATTTAAATGTGAGAGTTCAAAAGAGATATTAAGGAATTTAGTAGCTTACGAAAAACTCTTTGAGCAAACTCATCTTTAGTAATTCCTGCTATGATAGGAATTTGTTCGAAATTTCCGCTTTTAATTAGTTTAACTGGATCATCAGCAAGAAATTGTTCTTGACCAAAATCTTCTTCAATAACTGGTGACCAAATGAGTATCGGATCGAAACCAAATTCCTAAAGCATGTATCAACAACTGTGTTTTTAAATTATGCAAAGTTTTTGCTTACGGCTAATTGAGAAAGGGAGTTTCCTAATTCTTCTGCAGATGTTTTACTTAGGCAGTCTATTACTACTGTTGCATTGGTATCTGGACATCCTACAATTCTGGCCTGCTTTTTAGCTAAATCCAACTGATTTGTGGGCAATGGCCAATGTCCTAATGCAGATCCGCTACTAATAATAGCTTTGTGGAATAGGCCACGAGACATTGGAGAAACCATATGGAGAGTGATACTCCAAGCACCTGCACTATACCCATAGAGTGTAACAGAATTTGGATCTCCACCAAATGATGCTATATTATTGCGGACCCACTTCATAACCATTACTTGATCTCTCAATCCATTGTTTCCAGGCGCCTCTTTACCAACACTAATGAAACCCAGCGAAGCTATGCGATAATTTAAGGTCACCAAAATTATATCTTGATCCATGAAGTAGTGTGGTCCTACCCAGTTGCTACGACCAGTACTACTATAAAATCCTCCAGGATGTAAAGATATAATAATTGGACGTTTGGGATTATTCCCTTTAGTAGGGAGCTGTTGATTTAAAATAATAATGTTCAATTTAACAAATCAACTGATCACATAAACTAGAATATTAAAAAATCTTTCTAAAAATTTTGCGTCTTACTTCAATAAAAATTACTACTAAGAGCTTGGATTAAATACAAATCTTTACTGCCTCTGCATTTGTATATTTTATCATCAGACATAATATTTATATATTTTTATCATCTTCAGGAAACAAAAAAAAAAAAAAATCGGGAGACAACAGGTGTACATTGGAGATATATCTTTTCAAAAAAGTCTAAACACGGAAAACGTCTTTTCTTTATTAACTTATTGTTAGCTTCTTTGGTACTTTTGTGTCGTCTTAAGAATTAAAATATTAATAGAAACAATATAATCATCCTACGACACTTTGTCAAAAATGTGACTTTAGTACTTGCAAAAAATGTGCCCCTAAGGCACAATCAAAAGTGTCTAGTTTCTTAATTTTTTTTATGAGTATTTTGAGAAAATTAGATAAACCATTTTTGATTGAATTACTTTACATAACAAAATTAATAAAATAATTCTTTAAAAAAAATATATATAACGTGTTTAACTTTATGGAGAAGACGAACAAATACATTCTAATCGTTAATTTATAATAATTAAATCTGTGTATTTGTTTTTACCTCAATTAACAAAAAACCTTTTTTGCATTTTTACTAAGCCAAATGTAAAATTTTGCTTTTATAAATTTTGTTTTTGCGATAACCTGTATTGTATATGTAAAATTAAAAATACGATACGATATTAAACCACAAATAAAGAGGCTTTGTCACTTTACATCCTAAATTTCAAGAAAGATTTAGCAATATTTTGACATGACGTCTACAAGGTTTTAGAAGGGAAGAACAGATGAGTTTTTTACAACTATCTTAAAAAATGAAAAAAAAAAATGCAAGATTTCGATTTGGGTTTGTAGTTTCAAAGTTAACTTGTAAAATTTTATTGGAATATTCTGTTTTTTCTTTCTAAAAATTGAAGGTCAAAAAAAGGAGTGAATTCATAAATCACGGTATCTGAAATACCTCATCACTTTTTTGATGGATACGATAGCACAAATTTTGTTTACGTAATATAATAATTAGAAGAGCACCTTGGTTGTATAAACATTGAGAAATAAGCAATCCTCTGAAATGGGGGTAATTCCAGGTTGTGGGCACATCGGTCCATCACTCGTGGCATTGTAGGTTCCGGACCAGGGTTCAGCAGGTTGTGGGGGCTGCAGTTTTAAAAACGTGTTGCGTTTTTTTGTATGTTTATGCACTAAACAAAAACTGATAAATACTTACTTTAAATCGGAGTTCGTTTACTGGTGGTTTCGCATAACGAATTCCTCTGAAGGCATAAATAGTTTTACCCAAACGCGTCGTTAAAGTTGTTCCTAAAATTTCACCGATAGGTGTAGACACCTGAACATTTTGTGAAGTACGCACATAATTTAAAAGCACGAGAACAAGCATTAACCGTAACCACATTGTGTCCTCTGTTGAAAATAACAATATTGTTTCTGCGGTATGTAACTTATATAGCTAACTTATTGCATAATTCAAAGGACTGGCACATGATAATTTGTAGTGATAAAAATATTATTATTTTAATGCAATAATTACAACTGATAATATTTTCGGATGCATAAACAAAATACTCAACAGTTAAGGAAAATATTCAGTATTAAAAAAATATACCTATGATAAACATTTATATCGGGTTAAATTTTTTTTTTGTTTTTTTAAAAACAAAACTTGTTAACTTTCTTATCGTAATCAATAATTTTAAGTAAACTTCGTTATCTATGAAATTAATATTATTTTAGTCTTTCTCTGACATTGGATTTTTTATAGATATTTTTACTCTTTTGAGATGATTAACTGACCGATGCGTTTGAAATTGGTTTAGTTAATAGAATTTTCAAAGTAATTTCCACATCTGGGAAGTTGCTTACATATCTAAAGCTTTTTTGTACACAGGGTAGGTAAAGATATGAAAGCAGTTGGATATCGCGAGAAGGTTTATTGAATCTTTTTGAAATTTGGGCTGGCCTAGATTCTGTTGTCTGCAGTTTTTCCAAATTTCATACTTCATTTGAGATGCAGGGCTAACTTGATTTTCTTTAAATACCACTAGTAGTCAAATGTTCCGTTTTTAAGTAGTGATTTTTTTTCTGAATACAGAAATGTAACACATGCATTATTTTATTTTTTCCCAAAATGGTAAAATAAATTGTCAAATTATTATCAAACTAAACATACTGAAAATCAGAAAATCGTAGCTAGCAATACTATCACTTGTCATAGTTGGCGGAGGGCACTTTACTCAACAATTATACTAGTGCCCGAAAATGATAGAACTGAGGGTACATAAACTGAAAAAAAGGTGCAGCATAACGAATTGTTTTAAATGCCGTTTTCAACTAATTTACAACATATTCTAGAAATAACAATACGCCGATTTAATGATTGTAAATAGTGAATACACTGTTATGAAAGCTTTAAAAAATTTAAATAAATCACATAATTGAAAAAAGATCAAATTAACATTTAAAAAACAACAATTTTATAACAAATTTTCGAAACCTTCTCCATTTACTTCCTGGAAATAGTAAATACGTTGCACAAATTTTTCAAATTAATTTGTTAGAATATTAGGAGGAATATCAGCAATCACATTTAATATTCTTCCTTGGAGTTCCTCGATGCTTTGTCGTCTATTAACATTTAGCGTAAATATAAGGAATTACCTTCTTCAAATTTTCAAAAATTTTTTCCATAGTTAAATGCAAATTAAATAGAAGTTCTCTTGGATATGTTAAGGAATTAACTTTAAATTCTCTTAAACAAACGAATTTCGTGTAAGGCCTAGAAAATTTTTTGGTAATAATTGCCTGTAGACAATTAACACTCTTTAAATTTCGTCTAATTGTTGCCAAAATATAGCCAGCAACATTATACAAATAATGTCTGAAAAAACTTCGCCAGGACCTGATGGTTTATCTCCTCTTATACTCAAAAAATGTGCTAGTTGGATTGCTGGTCCTTTATCCCACATTATGACTCTTTCGTTTCAGAACTCAGTTCTTCCCCCTATATGGCTCCAAGCACTAATCACACCCATATATAAGAAAGGCGATAAAACGAAAGCTGAAAATTATAGACCTATCAGCCTTACTTCCATATGCAGCAAAGTTATGGAGAGAATCATATGGAATCAAATGTTTCGATTTTTAAACGATCAAAGCATACTTTCTGCTAACCAACATGGGTTCCTACCTGGAAGATCTACCGTTACTTGCTTGCTTCAGTGCCTTAACACGTGGACGATATCTTTGGATCAAAATAAACCGGTCGATATTATTTACTTAGATTTTGAAAAGGCTTTTGATCGCGTTCCTCATCGTCGGCTGTTACGAAAGTTAGATAATGTCGGAATCAGAGGTCTCTTACTCCAGTGGATTCAAGCTTTTCTGAGAGGACGTAGCTTTAGAGTAAGAGTGGGTTCTTGTTATTCATCCAACCGGGAAGTGCTTTCAGGTGTCCCTCAAGGATCGGTGTTGGGCCCGATACTGTTTCTTGTGTACATATCCGACCTTCTGTCTTTGTTAAAATCACCTCATGCTTTTTACGCCGATGACGGCAGACTGTTTAACAACCCATTAACATCCTCCCAAATAATTCAAAGCGATTTGCTTACAGCTCAGAACTGGACGTCCACTTGGTTAATGCCCTTGAACAACAAAAAATGTGTCGTTTTCCGTCTGGGCAAAGATAACCCAAACATACCGTACACTCTTGATAACCATGTCTTACAACCCGTTAATCAGATCAAGGACCTAGGCGTACTATTAGACAACAATTTATCCTTCTCCGAACATGTCAACCTTGTAGTTAAAAAAGCCAATACAGTCAAGTATCTAATACAAAAAGCATTTGTAAGTCCAACGGAAGAATTATCCAAAACTTTACTTGTCTCCTACATACGTCCCATTTTAGAGTATGCAAGTGTAGTCTGGTCACCGAGCTTAATTGGAAACAAAGAATTACTAGAAAAAGTGCAACGTCGTTATTTAAAAACTGTGCAAACTTTAAAGGATAAACCTTACGATGTTAGACTTTCTTTACTTAAACTTCCTTCTTTGGAAAAGCGTCGTATCATTAATGATCTTGTGTGCACCTACAACATTCTTACGCACCAATTTGGTATTGATCTTTCAAATATTTTTGAATTATCTGCTGCCTCTCATCTTCGCGGCCACTCAATGAAGTTGCATCACCAAAAATACAAGACCAGGTGGCGTCAAAATTTCTTATCGAACAGAGTTTTCAACGTATGGAACAGTTTGGATTCAGATCTCATCGAATCAAGTAGCACTGCCTCCTTTAAAAATAAACTTTATAACCACCTGACTGATCTTTAAAAAAAAAAAAGTATATATAAATATATTGATGTTCCAGCCGTCGTTTGAGCACCCCCTTAATAGAGATGGTAGTGAATTTCAGCTCCCAGTACAGGGTTCCTCGAGTCGAGCATAATAGGCTCTTACCTCTGCTCTATGACATCAATAATAATAATAATAATAATAATAATAATAATTGTTGCCAAAATATAGCCAGCAACATTATACAAATAATTTTGTGCCACAATATAAAATGATTGGTTGTATATTACTGTTCTAGCCCTTAGGTAGGCAAGTAAATCAATTATACCTAATAAATTTTGATCATTTCATACTGTATAACTTTCCCTACTGTAGGTACTTTTGAACCATTGAATTACACATAAATTTTTAAGAAGTGACCTAAACTGAAGTGCATTTGGTATTTCTTATCTCAGTCTTATTTAACTAAAAATGTTTTCTAACGCATCTTGTGAAAATCTTGACGTACACACAAATTTATAACCTGTAACGTTTAAAAAGTATTCCTGACGATCTAAAATAGTTTTTGTTGACAAAATTAAACCTGTTTGTACTGGTTTCCAATAGCCCCCCATCCCAATATTGATATTTTTAAATAAAACAATAGTTTCTTGCAAAAATTTCAAAGTATTTTTGTATTCACCTAAATTAGATCTGCTAAAAGCCGAAATGTAACATCCGGACGACATGATGCGGAATCATTTACTTAAAATTTCGATAAACCAAGCAGTAGTATAAGCATCACGGCCAACAATAGCTACGTTTGTGTTACACAAAAATTCGAGCTCCGCACTTACTTCAAAATTTATTAAATTACATGCCAAAGAAACTTTCATTTTGTTAAATTGGCTCAGATTGTACAAATCACTACTTAATTTTGGTGCTAAATTTAATTTGAAATTTTCTTGAAATTCCAATGTATTTAATGTTAACCTTATTACTTGGTAATGCATATTTATTAACAAACTCTTCCGGAATGCACCCATAACTGTCGTAATATTTACAATATTTAGATTCGTTTTTGTGGCTAAAATTATTAATTCTTTAATATGATCTCCCAATGACGGTCCACTTGTTGAATTTCCTGTAAAGTGATACGAAATTACTTGTTTCCATCGCCGCAATATTCCACTTATTATGATAACTAATGAATGAGTGGCTATCGCTGGAAAGATTTCCAGGATTTCGTATCCTAGTATGGTAGAGGAAGCGGTGCAGTTTTGCTTTCCAGGCGTTAAAGCCGTTTCATCTAAATATAAATGACAGTCTTTTTCATAGTCTTTAAAATCTTTAACTTTTAAATTTAATTAATAAAAAATTCGGTGTGATATACCTGGGTAGAATTTGATATGCTCTATTTTCCGACGTAATGTACGCTAAGATGACAATAAATAGTTTAATTTTAATAAAGATTCATAGCCTGAAGAACCACAAGAAAATTTAATGGACATTGCATTTATAATTACTTGTTTGTTCACTCCAAATTTATCTGCAATCACCAGTTTGTCATTAATTTTTTCTTTTAAACAACAAATTTCGTCTTCTTTCTGTTGCAACAAATTTTGCTAGTACTTTCCTAAACAATTGATTTCCGCTAATAATTCTTTTTTAGTGGCTATTAAATTTTGAATTTTGATATTTTGTTTATTAATTGTTCGTTCCGGATTAACAATTTTAAGTGGTGCTTTATCTTTAAAATCTTGAACATGAAAATATCTAGGTAAAACGTTTTCTTTTAACTTAAGTCGTAAACGAAACCTTCTTGATAAAAGTGCACCTTAAAATATAATTTTAAAAATACAGAGGAAAGGATTTTACGAAAGTAAGCACTTCACAAATTTTGAAAGTAGAACCAATGTTCCAATTTGGACGCTTCAAACTTTCCTTCTAAAGTGCAATTGTGTTCTTATCTGACAAAAAAATTATATGAAAGAAATCTTCAAAAAATCCATGTCTGTAATTTTAATTGCTTTTTCTTCTATACACAAAACTTGAAAATTACTTTTACCATATTCATAAGATTTTTTCGCGTCACTTCTGCTCTGCTACTAAATGCATATTATATAGTAGCGTGCATATAGTAGGTGTAAACAAAATCCTTGCGATCTCTGTACATACTTATATTTTCGCTTGAGGTAGCTCATCTTCAATTGTTTTTTTACCACTGATGGTAAACTTATTGGATATCTGAAGCCAAACTTGGTGTTTTTAGAAAAAAGTGTAAAGTTGTGGTTTTGCGGGGCTCTTTAAAAGTTGAGGCGGCGGGCGCAAAAATTGGAAAAACCAACAAAATATAGGAAATTCTGTGTGTTACCTCTTTTACATATTTTCATTTACATAATAAGGAATTAAAGGTGGCTAGCAAATAATGTTCCTGCTAAACTTATTATTAAATTAACTTAAGTAATGGAAAAAAGGATTTCGTAAAGATAGGTATGCAAAACAAAACAGAAATTCTGTGAAAACATTGTCTTGATATGTTGAAAATGCTCAATTAAGGTAACCATCAAATGTTTACCATATTTTTATCTGTTGTTACATTTTATGATCTTCATTTTTACAACAAAGACGAAAACTAACGGATAAAATAAAGCGTTTTGGATGGAAGTTTACTCCGCATTTTGTACGCCCATAGAAGATAAAATTTAAAAAGAAGTATCGTTGATCTATAAATGTTTGTGCAAAAACTCATTTATTTAAGTTAAAAAATGCAACAAAAACAATAACATGACAAAATTAACATAACACTTAATTAGTATCAGACTTCGACTGTTCTCCTTAAAGTGAAAATTCAGATAATGGCCCAAATAGATACACGGCAGGACAGTTGTCATCAGGATTTCCAAGAAACTGCGCGTACAATTCTTGGTAACGCGACAGAGTCAACCCACCTCTTCGCCTATCATCGTCCTGTAAATACCACATTATGAAAAACATTAACCGAGTCAGCGCAAAATAACTTACGCTTAATAAGTTGTTGAAAGCTTCATCGACCACTTCTATGTCATCTATAGCAAATTTCGTAACACAGTTGAATCTATATTCGTCCGCTCCGATAACTCCATCGTCGTTTAAATCTACCATCTTGAAATTTGAATCGATGAACATTTTCATGGCCTGGGGGAAGTCCTCGTACCTTCTACCCATGCAACACTGTTGCACGGCTTGTTTGAACTCGTCGGTGGTAATCTTGCCGTCCTGCAATAGCTCCTGTGTGAGAAACAGGACAGAAAATTTACATTATTGTGTGTTTTTGGTCCGGATCTAAACCAAGAATCACTCTATACTAAAAAGAGAAAAGCAAGAGATTTTCTACCTATACGAGCTCCCTACTCTAAACCTACTTAGTGAGCGAGTGTTTGTGGAAATCTGTGCATAAAACAGAGCGGTTATTAGCTTTTTCTATGTATATGAGAGAAGCTGGCAGACTACCTATAGGTCAAACCTTATTGAAATCGGCTAATTCAGCGATTTCTTCCCAAAGGCTCAACATGATATGTTGATATTCTTGAAGACGTGAAAAGCTAAATTCTCCTTTTCCTTCTATTATGGTGGCGCGCAATGCGAGACAGGCAAAATCGCGCTCATCCAAATAACCGTTATTGTCGGTATCTGAAATTAAAAATTTTGAAGACTGGCGTAAAAAAGTTTGGTTTGTTAAACCTAATTTTGTTTTAATCTCTCAAAAAATATATAAAAAATGTAGCTGTAAAACCAAAATTATTTTATCTTCCTCTCCCAAAAAAGGTGACGTCATCAGGAATTATTGTTAAATGAATCTCACTTTAAATGTACATTTAATACGGTTATATTTTGAATGAGAAATTGGACGAGTTATTTCAGAGAAAATAGATAAAATAAATTCGTTCATCCATTAATTTTATAAGACATCTTGTATAAACAAATAATAAAATGTTATTGAAACGCAAGAAAAACGAATTTTTCGCTAAAAAATTATTGATTCATTTTTTGCTTGACATCTTGTGTGCATAATTCTAAAACATGAAAGCATTTTATTGAAATTCTAGGAATATCACACAAAGACACATTTTCCAGTAAAATGTACTTACCACTAACAAAGGACGAATAAATAAATTTAAGTTAATGTTTTGTAATTCTTAAATGATTGTTAGTAACAGTGAAAAAAAGTCACGAAATTCGTAATGTGGTATACTTAATGTATGTAATGTGTGTATAAATTTGAAAATAGCAGTGTATTGTTAAACCACATGTAAAGGGATTCTCTGTTTTGTATTTAGAGATTATTTAATAAAATTTTGCGATGACGTGGTTAGCCATTTTCACGATGATCTACAGGACAGAGAATTGAAAACGAGAAATCTACATTTTCTTATTCTATGGATTGCGGTACTCTAAGAAAACATGGAAATGGTATTATTCATTATATTTCCTGAAACAATGCTTAGATCTTTGTGTGCAGGATTCTTAAACGAGAAAGTAATACATGTTCTAAGTGATCAAGGCATTTGAAGTAAACAAGATATGTGTAACGTAATATCAATCTGCGGCGACCAGTTATATTTTCTAGATCATTAAAATGTAGTATCAAATCAGAGTGCTGATATTAATAAGAGCTAAGTTTGTTAAGTTTAGTGACCTTAATCATGACGTTGTTAATTTAGGATGATTTTGACAAAAATAGAGCTTCAACTAAATTTATCTAATCGTATTAAGTACTAATAAAAGAAGCAAAGGCATATATATGACAACTTCATTAATTAAACGTATTACTTAAGTGTAGACAGGTTTTACGATTCTCATAGATTGTCTAATTTGAGCTTTTTACAGTAAATAAGTCTATACTACCCATTTTAAAATAATAAACTTTATTTTATGAAACTGTCGGAAAGGAACGATAGTCATAAATGATATTTTGAGTAAGTGACGAATAAGATGAAACAACATGAATGGTGGCTGCAGTTTTGAATTCATTTTATAATTTGATCATATGCGAGCACAAATAGTTCATTTTTTCAGCTGCACTAAACGCAAATCCAAAGTTACAAGAAAAAAGCTCAGTCAATATTATTACTTATTCTGGAATCTTGTTCTGAGTAAATTGTTACACAACTTTTTCATTCTTACATCATCCCTGGTTTATACTTATGCATAGGATGTTTTTTTAGAACTTTTCAGATCTGTTTATGCTTGCGGTTTATTTCTGCACAAAAGTGAGTCCTTTAGCACCAACAATAGGTCGTGTATCTTGTTAATCTATTTTTATATAACCACGACAGAAACAGCTGGCCTTTTAGCTGAGTTAATAATTGTTAGAAGCCGAGCCTTCGCAACTTTGGCAATGGTGCTGAAAATAATAAGCGTTTTTATAATGTTATTGTTCCAGGTAAGTGCATCGACACTTGACGATAAAAAAAAATCAAGTTTTTTTAATTAATAACAGAACATGTTTTTTGGGCATTTGGGTAATTTTTAACTGACAAATGTGTTTGTATAAACTTCGCTGGAATCCAAAATGTAACTCATCAACACTCATCAATTACTTTGTAAAAGAACCAATCGATTCACATTTGTTCGCATAAATAAACTGATCAGAATAACAGAATAAAAATAATAAGTCCAGTTAGTAATGCTTTATTAATAGTTTATCGCTTCATACTTTAATTCGAGTGTAAAGAGTGAATAATATAAATTACCTAAAATAATACATATGTATTGATTCTATTTTTGACCAAAAACACGAGTCCGTAGGTTTGAAAATACGCTCTAATTTATGAATAGTGACAACTCTATTCCTGACGCGGAAGTAACGGTGTAAAACAAAAAGCTGAGATTAGAAAATGTGATTTTCTTGTTATGAACGCAGCTTAAATTACCCACCATATAAATATTTTACCACAAAACTAACTCTGTTGTCCCAACTATAAGCCATGACAGCTGTTAAGGAACACACAGAACTACACTACAACCAAATTATGTTTGTACTGTGGCAAAAGTGAACTGACGAACCGGCCGGTGTCTATTTTTGAAAAGAGAGTTTCTTTTGCGTCACATCGGAAGTCACCGCACTCATCCGAACAAATATACCATGTGGTCTACTTGCGAGCAATGACATTATTTTTTTAAACATGGTGAATCCATGCATAAATATATTCACCCGTATTCCTCAAACTCTAGTTGGCATATTTTTTCCAACGATTTATGGAGAAGTAACTTTCAAATATAAGCGTTTCGTAGAAATAAGTGCATTTTCTGCCTAAGATTCAAATTATCTTAATTTTAAATCATAATCAATCAGTTAACGTTTTTCTATTATTATTAAATAATTTCTCATTAGTTATGTGCTTATTTAGCTTGCGTTAATCGCATTTGAAAAATAAGAAAAATTATTTAATTATATAGGCAACCATGCATGTGTAGCAAAATTTAAACCCTCGATTTAGGGTAGCGGTTCAGGAAAAGCGCAATTTTGAGACGCTTATTGTTTAATGTTAAAATTAAGGGTACGGCTAATTAGTTAGCAATTTTAAAAGAGGGCAGTTTAAACAAAAATTAATCGCATTCGACGCCACATTCCTCCTCACCGAGTTTAATTAGTGTAATATCAGGTGATTACAACAATAACAAATTATCATTATCCTTCTCCCGTTGTTGCATCATAAAGCTATTTGCGAGCATGACTTTTTTGGGTGTAACCTAAGATTGTTTCAAAAACAGTGTAAAAATGTAATTTAAATTGAATATTTATTTAAATAGCTAATAGTTCTGATTACAATTTATTATTATATAATTACCTACTCCCTAATTTTCTTTTTTTATTAGTTGTCCTATATAGGCCTTCTGGGTCTGTTGGATTTAAATAACATCATCGCCCATGTAGAGATCATGTACATAAATTAATTCTAAATTCACTTAAAGATTAACAATAATCATAAATAATATTCTAAATTATCATACTATTGTATAAATTTTATTAGAACTATGTAACGGATGTTCAGCTGAAAAATTCATCAAGTTGGCGCTGCTTTTGGATAGAAGAAAATGTTGAAAAAGAAAATGAAACTATATGAGATACCTGTCCCGTTATTATAAACAGGAAGTTTTTATTGGTTAAAGTACATTTTTATGACTATTAAACGTTCGGTATTATAACTGTGTGAACAGTTCTATTTATGCAATTACTTTTGAAAAGTACATTTTCTTGAATATGTCGAATCTAGTTGTATTAATAAAGTTTATTCATAAAAAAAAACGGTATCCACAAGAAATAGCTTTAAGGGAACACGATGATCAATACTGAATCTTCACTATTACTTACTTTATAACTGCAGAAAAATCATACTAGTTCGAGCTGTATATCCGTCACTTTGCACGGCAGTGATTAAACTCTCTGAGTTTGTAGTCAATGTTGATATTTTGAAAGTTGTGTAATAAATCAGTAACTGTCTTCTTCATAACTTTACACTGAAAAAAATTGTAACGTAACTTAATGCTCCTTAATTTAGGAGTATATCGTAATAATTTATTGACATCGTAGGACGAAATCTTGTTAGATGCTATATTCAACTCTTCAAGATTTGGCCAGTACCGCATATCATTCCAGGGAAATATCTTTAGACTATTACTTTCAAGATTAAGCGTCTTTAGGTTGGTAAGCCGGATCAAATATCCACCAATTTTCTTAACTTTATTTCCTCCCAAATTAAGTGTAGTCAAATTATTCAGTGAATCAAATGTGCCTTTCTCAATTTCTTCTATACCACATGACAATAGTCTCAACGTTTCTAGCGAAATGAGGTCATCTAGATGATCTTTCTTCAGAGTTTTAACTGTTTGACCAATTATTTGAAGATTTAATAAATTTTTTAAATTTGAAAAAACGGTGTTTTCAAATTCTAGTCCCTCGTTATATTCTAGTTTTAGGATTCTTAGACTCCAACATTCACCAAAATGTTTATTTGAGAGTTTTGGTAATCGTATATTTAAAGTGAGTATAATTTCGTTGAAGGGTGAAGAACAAAGGCCATTGTCTTCTATAGTACTGATCGAACTCAGTAGAATAACCAGTCTGTTGACGTGTCTGACTGCATTAAATGTGTCTGAAAATATGGTCTCTTGTATACCTTCCAATTTTAGCTCTTCAGAATATGTTGAAGGGGAGAAAGATACATTTCTTTTAAATTCCAAGCTAAAAATCGTTGTGATTTCAAGTAGTAATATCAGCGATATCCTAAAATAGAAATGAAGTGGTACATTTTACACTGTAGTGCACAAAAGATATGAGATCTAAGTATGTGTAATTTGCGAATTAGACAATTAGCAATAAGTTTTTATATCCACTAAGATTAAAGTTTGCATATTGCATATTTTTTGTGCGATATGCTTTATAAACATCAAATGTAACGAGCGTTCAAATAAAAACGACGTCAGGTTGGCTTTGGAAATGTGAACGAAGCATTTACTAAGTCCTAAATTCACATTTACAAAGCCAGCTTCGCGTTGTTTTTATTTGAACGCTCGTTATTAAAACAAAACTAAAACAAATTTGCACCATTACTAACAAGTAATTTCAGTCAAATCAAAACGTTAAATATTTTGTAGTAAATGTTACTCCCCAAGAAAAGTTTCAAAATGCTACAATTACGTAAATTCAAAAATGCAACAAAATTAGAAATAAACAAAACCTACCTAGTTTTTTTCATGTTAATAACTGTTTCTGCTTCTACGAACTTGTAATTCTTAATAGGTACATTGAAGCAAACTATTGATAAGATAAAGTTGAGAAGGTTAAAAGAGCAGTAGTCGTAAATATTATTACTTGGTGAATTTTACATTAAGTTAGAGCCACAGGCTAGTATTAAGGCAATCCCAACAAAGAACGAAATGAAAAAATATGTCCTTAAAAATTATGAAAAAAAAACGATGAAACTATGTAGAACAGAATACAGAAGACATATTCATAATAATAAAGTTTTCAGACTTTCATGTTTTCTCACGGTTTCATGACCCCTAGAGTACGAAAAAGCAGGTCTCACATAATCATCTGCCGTCTGTCCGGATTTTTATTAGACAGATAATCTCCGAAACTACTTGATCGATTGTTGCAAAATTTTGTATGTGTTTTTAGTATCATGTAGATGGTAAAATGCTAATCAAAATTTGTCTAATCATCCTCACCACCAATTGGATGACGTCATCTCCATAATTTACAACAGTAAATGCTAAATACTTTTTTAAATTTTATGAAATAACATACATTTGTGGTTTATGAATCCGAGTTGAGTTTGACCTTAGACATCTAGATTTTTGGAAAAAAAATTGTATAAGAACATTTTACAATTTAACTTGGAAACTGCAAAAACCTAATAGTAATAAATTGAATAGCTACCGTATGACACAACCACCAAAAAATATTTTGAAATCGGAGAAAAACTGACGCTTAAAGAAAATTTGTTCGAAGATAGATACCCATTCTGGAGAAATTTATATCCCTTTTCTTCCTAGTTATGAATTTTCTAAGACTAGTTATGAAGAATCTACCACTTTGAATATAACAAAATGATAAATATTGAAAATAAAATATGACGTCACAATCAAAAATTGAAATTCTCTGTTAATTTTTACTTTTTGAGCGTAACTGCATCAGGGCCCATCGGACCAATATGCCTCTTCGAACGGTATTATTGTCAGCACCCATGTAAAAACGTTTGGGACAGCATTTTGAAATTTACCTTCCTTCAATTAAATGATCTTTTATTTTCTGCATTTTTATTTGAAATGTTTAAATCATTCTCCTTCTTTTCTAAAAACTTCAATAAAGGTATGGAATAAAAGTATTTAACCTTCTATGATGTACTTACCTGAAATTTTTAATCAAAATAATGTTTATTTTTTAAACAAATTAACAATTTCCTGCAAAAAGTGATAGTGGAAATTAAAGTAGGACCCTAAGGTTATTTCTACTGGAAAAATCATCTCTGAGTTTTTATCCTGATGTAAGCTAACATGGAAAATGATGCATTGATGCACTTGAACTGCATATGTCCAAAAATCAGAGACAACCGTGGCATCAACTGGTTCTCTCTGCTTCCTCCTTCCACTCTTCCGCTTCTAGGGATCAACTGGGATATATTCCGATTTCCGATATTCCCTTCCGCCTCCAAGCATCAACCGGAAAATATTCTGATTCACTCAACTATAACCGCTGTGAACCGCGTTCCGATCCTCACCACCCTGAAACCTCCGTCCGGAGCCTCGAGTATGCCAATGTTCCGTAAGCTATGCTGTATGAGAACTGTGTTTAATAAATTATTGTTGTATCCCTAGTGGTTTTTTCGTTTAAATCTCTCGGACCAGCTCCCTCGCACCGCACCGAAAACCCGGTTACAAAGTTAATAAAATTGCGAAACTAATTTCAAACTAAATCTATCTTTAAACTAAAAATAGTGCACGGATGTACATGTAAAATCTATAGGAATTAAAAGTTTAATTCAATTTTTTTTTTAAAGAATGTGTTTTTTAATTAGTTCACCTTTATTTGTTCCAATATAGTTTCGTGTCTAAAGCTGATTTTTTTTCCTAAAAAATTGGTGTTTGGGCTGCAGTTAGTAAAGGACGAACAGTAGGTCCTATATTCTTTGAAGTTAATTATGAGTATGACAATAATAAACATGTGACTAACTGACTTATTCAGTATAGTACCTATTCATTTTCAACATAATTGTTGTTATATTCAAAATACAGGGTCACAACGTATTCGGTTAGAACCACAAAAGCAATGTTACCGGAATATTTTGATTATCTAATCATTAGTCGAACTACAAAGGATATCTGTCAACAGACTTTTTTGTTGCGGTAATTAAAGAACACTGTTTATCAAACACTTGTCAACAATTGCGATGAATTAATAAAGAAAAACAAAAGAAATTAACTACATAAACAACAATGCAGAGATGTTGAAATATATTATCAATAGAGTTAAACGAAGAATTCATTTCTGTTTATAACAAAATGGTAAATAT